TTTCCTTAAAATTTTCTTTTTAGAGTCTCTCGAGAATAGGGAAAAAATTGTGATTTAGATTGTATTTTACTATAACAAAAACAAATTTTATGCAATTTAACATAATATGTATCTTCCAATAAAAAGATAAAAACCCTTCTAACTAATCGTAACACATGCATAAAAAAATATATGACGCTTATAACTCACATATCAATCTACTAACGTTCAATTCACCTACACAAATGCATTCTATGTTCATTTTCACAACCCATACGCACATTCAATTTCACAATCATTATGCTAATAATTCATAAATATTACACATAATTCTTATAAGACTTCACCTTGTTGTATCTTTTTTTCTTTTTAAATGTTGTATCTTCAATATCCTGAACAATAACTTATCAAAATGGAGGTCAAAAAAGATGGCAAATATTTGGGTAGACCCGGTCTACAGCCCCACTCATAGACCAAGTGATCCAAAATTTGTCACTTCGTCATTAACTCTTCCTCCTTCCTCAAAACACACACTTACATACAGTTACATCTAGTCATTCACAGTAACTTTCAGTCAATGAACTTCCCAACCATTCTTCAATTTTCATCACAATCTTTCTACTTATTGCTACATTTTCCAAAACAAACATATACCCAACATAAAAAAACCAGGCAAAAACAAATAAATCTAGATTTTTTACACCAATTTGAGTCGCTTTATTAGATTCTTAGTTGAAACTCTTGAAGTTTCCCTATGCTTCTCCATTGTTTGTTTCACAAATTCTTTTGATTTCCCATTTGGTCCAAGCGAAGAAAAAGAAATTCTTGATTTCGTTGACATGGATTTGATTTTTCAAGAAAATTCCAACTTCACTCTTCAGCGCAAAAATAATACACCAATAGGAGAGAGAGTTTGAGCATGGTTAAGAAACAAAATTCTTGATTTCTAAATATATAAGTATTGACACTCCTTCCTTGGGAAATATATCAAAAAACTCCCTGTGGTTTGAATGTTCAATTTAACTTCCTTGGGAGAGAGAGAGAGTAAAACTTGCAATAAATAATGTTGAAGAGAAAAAAATGCTTGCACTTGCCGAAAATACCCCTATATGGAGATTAAAAGCTGAAGAAAGATAGAGGAAGGGTTCCAAATCCTTATTCCCTTAATTTTCAAATCGATCTCCAAATCCTTCCCCTTTCTGGGATTGAAGATACAACGATAAGGGATTAGGAGTGAAATTGTTGATTTCAAAATCTCATTTGGGATTAGATGTTTTCTAAAATATCTTCCTCAAGCTATCGAAGTGGCAACAGAAGTAGGGATTTGAGATATCAATGCAAGTTATGTAATTGTGGAAGGAATGCTAAGTGAAAATCGTTGAATCAGAGGAATGTTAAGGGGTTTGAGATATCAGCACAAGCATTAGGATGAATTTTCCTTGCAATTGACCTCCTATTTTGTTAGAATTCTCCACTGATTCTTGAAAGAAGTTGGAAAATTTCAAATTTAGGATTTTTTCTTGCTTTCACTTTCTCTCTATCTCTCTCGATTCTTCAAATTTCAAGTCCAAGAATAATGAAAAATTCTCCTGATGCATTCAGTTATATAAGGGCACTATCAATATTTCACGTACAACCATTAGATTGGATACTTTTTGTCCAATTTTCAATCTAGTCGAAATCACAGGGAGGTATAGTATAAAATTCCAAATCAGAGAAAGTTAAATTGAACATTCGATAAATCACAAGGAGTTTTTTGATATTTTACCTCTCTTTCCTTAGTCTTCCTTGCATCTCCCTTCCCACTGCTTCCTTCTCTTGCATCTAGTGCCGAGACCACTTTGTTTTCGTGAATCTCCACCAAATCCTCCGTCGTGCCCTTCTTCTCCATTTCTTCTTCCCTTATTTTTCACAAAATCAAAATCTAAGCAAAATTACACCCAAAAGTACAAGCCAAACAAAAGCAAAACTTGAAAGGTAACAATTGAGGGGTTTGTAGATCTTGTTAAATGGGTAAGATGAAGTGAACAAAGTAGAAAGAATTCTTATCTCAAAAACTTGTTGCCACTAGAAGTTTCTTTGCTTTGGAATTTCAAAAGGAAATAAAAGAAAAGAAAAAGAATTGAGAAGAGATGCCTGAAGTTAAGGAGCTTCCGATGTTGTGCAATAGAGTTTCTAAATATTTTAATCATTATGATGATGTGGCAAATTTTACACCACTTGATCTATGGGTGGGTTCGTAGATCGGCTTTACCCAAATTTTTGCCAAAAAAAATTACAAAGAAAAGCACACATTTGAAAACAAGTTCACTAATTTCATTCTTTTCTCCATAAAGGCCAATTTCAATTTGTCATAAAACATCTACATTTTTCCAAAGGGATAATATTACAAATCTCTCCTAAGGTTTCTCTTAATATCACCTAACATCCCTAAGATTTTAAAAGTATCACTTACCTCATTTACTGTTCACTCCGTTTGGATTAACTGTTTTTGGGAGTGTTTTAAAAAAACTTTGCTGTTCATTTTTTGAAAAATAGTAAATGTTGTTTGGATTAGCTGTTGTTCACAAACAGATTTTTTTTTGAAAAACAAACTTGTTTGGATTCACTGTTTTTGAAAAACAACATTTAAAATTTTCTTTCTCTTTAAATATCCTTCCTAAAATACTTAATGTCGTTTGCACTGGTACAATTAACTGAGTACTTAATACATAGAGGTTTCATAAGTGTACATGCCAGATATAATATGTCAGTGGAAACATTAAGCAATTATTTTGAGTTTGACAATCCGCCTTATTGTAAGAAAAGCACGGAATAGATAACGATCACCATGTCCTAAAATACATAATGCCTTTCGTAGTGGTACAATTAATTGAGTACTTAGAAAATAGAGGTTTCATAAGTGTACATGCCAGATATAATATGTCCGTAGAAACATTAATTATTATTTTGAATTTGACAATCCGCCTTATTGTTTCATAAGCACCGAATAGATAACGATCACCATGTTCTACAAATGTTGGTGATAGTACATGTGATCGGCTATTGCTCTCCTATATTCATTCCAGCCAGCAATTCCTTGAGTCGACATATCTAGTTGTTGTGCTCTGGCCATTTGGTTGAAGGGGTTTATATTATCTGCCAATGCTCCATCTGCTTCTTCTTCAACAAAATATACGTCATTGGGAACATGATCGCACATGAAGTTGTGCAAGGCACAACAAGTCAGGACAATATTATTTTGTGTTGCCATTAAATAGTTATGCATGAGACCCTTAAATATCGGAAATCGCTTCTTCAAGACACCAAACGTGCGTTCTATAATGTTTCTTAACGATGCATGGCATCTGTTGAAAAGTGCTCGCGCTGCCCGCTCTTGATGGGTTCCCCGTGCACCCCTAAAGGGAGTCATAAATCCTGACATATTTGTGTATGCCGTGTCCACCGCGTAATACTACCCTGCATATCATGTAATTATAGTTAAATCCATTATAAATATATATATTTAAACAAGGCAAAAACTCAATTAGGCAATGCGGTATTTCATTTAATTTTTACTCACCTGCTGGTAGTCATGGAAAGGCACAATTAGGATCAAGTAAAACATCTCGTAAGATCCTGGAATCATGTGCGCTACCCTTCCACCCTACCCCGACATAAGTGAATCTCATGTTATGATCACACATGGCTAGAATGTTTTGTAATAAGCTGCCATGCCTATTCTGGTAACGATCCCTGTCTTCGGCTCTACACCAAGTTGAAACGTGTGTTCCATCAATCACTCCAACGCAATCCTAATCACAATATACCAGCGTTATGTCTCCAACAGGTTAAATTAAATACTAATTTCACAAAATAACCCCTAACCTTAAACCAGGGCCAGAACAGCGCTTTGTTCTGTATTCTTGGATGAATTATGTGATAATCTATCAGTCTGACTAAGTCGCGTTCCAATCGAACGAGAGATCGAAGGCAGCGTCGTAGATGGCGGTCCACTGTCTCGGAAGAATGTTGGAATCTCTCGGCTAGCACCCTATGTCGCTCATTATAATTCAAACACAGAAGGCAAATGGCAACAGACTCATGAATTCCCACCCATTGTGTCGGGTGGGGCTCCCAATAGCCCCTATCAAGCAACAAGTCACATAACTGGAGGAAAAGGGGAGCTTCCATGCGAAGGTTGTCGAATATTCTGTCTCGACGACCGTTTTTCAGCTCTGCAACCTATTGAGCACCAGACTGTGCACCAGCTCGGATTCGTCGCCGCTGCAAAAGGTTTAGGTATGGGTCGAATAAGGCCAATCCAGCAAGTACAAACATGACAAAGGTCAAAATGAGTTCCTCCTCGTCGATTTGTCAAAGAAATCCCCACCATGCACATAATTATCAAACTCCATTTGAGGTGTTATTGGTTCAGTTTCGTCAAAGGTGAATCTGAGGAAAAATGAGACAACAGTAATGATCAATACTGTTAACAATTGACTGCATGCATTAACAAAAAAATGACTTAAAAATACCTATACACATGCAATAATCAGTTCGCAGGAAATTATATGCGATTTACAAAGACTAGTCATTAACTTCCTTTTCAAGACAATATGGAAAAGCTAATATTAAGAAGGCAAATAGTATCATTTGGTCACTATGTAATACCTTCGATGCTAAAATGTATTGGCCAGCTAAGATTAAGCAATACTAGAGCAATCACCCGAATAGTTCCAAACAATAACCTTAAAACCAAAAAATGAATGTTAACTAGTTAAGGTGGCCCCTCAAGCATCCTAAATTTAAATACTTGCCAACACCGTCAAGGCCTCAAAGTCATCCTCAATTTAAATACTAGCCAACACATTCATTTCGAAAAAGTCATCCTCAAATGAGGCAACTATGGACCATAAACTCATGGCCACAAAGTCATCCTGAATTCAAGTTATATCTAACATATTCATTGCCAAAAAAAATTATCCTGAATTTAAATACTATCCAACAATCAGTCATGATCACAAAGATATCCTGAATTTAAATACTCAACATTAAGAATTGTCAAATCCTCAACAAAGTCATGGCCTCATAGCATCCGGAATTTAAATAAACAAATGATAACACTAAGAAAAATTAAAGTCCAAGTTCCGGTAGCAAATGCTACAACTAATTGTCTCAAGTATAAACAAACAAAGGCAACAACTCAAGCTCCAAATAAGTGCTCCCGATGAACAAGGCAACCAACTAAAATAGGGGTGGGGGATAGGGCTCCTGAGGGTCAGGCGGGAAATAGCCTTTTAACTTCATCCAGGTGATGCAGTCGGCGTCAGATCCAGCTAAATTCCAAACAGCCAGCTCTTGCTTATCCTTCAGTATTTCAGCAGCAGCAGCAAATTTGGCTACGTAGGGCACGTTCTCTAATCCCTGAAGTTCATCCATGGCAACGTCATAGTCGATTTTTTTCGAGACATCACGGCTAGAACGATGCTTGTTCGGAGAACTAACTGAGACACTCATGCTGGAGCTCTTCTTTCGACTAACCAGCGATTCAATGGTGTCAAGAGCCCTGAGGTATCTGTCAGTCACTGATCCAGAGGCAGTGGACATAGGACTACCGCTTGAGCAATCACCCGACTTCCGCTTTCCTTTCCCCCTCTTCCCTTTCACTGAGGTGACCCCTCCTACCTCAACTTCAGCATCCTCAGCTGCAAAGTCCGACCTTCCCTTTCCCCGTGCAAGTCGTGCAGCAGTCTTCATGTCTTGCTCCTCGGCTGAAGTACTGGGCTCGTTCTCTCGTCGCGCCTTGATTGACAAAGACCTCCTCAAGCAAATGATAGATGGTACAGTTATTTTGAAATTTTGCAAACTTTGGGTTGACCTAGTAAAAAAAAACAGCCAAAAAGGAGTTAAAGGAACCAGCATATATAACTATTAAAAACAAATTTTAAAAGATATAAAAACACCAAAATAGTTATACCTGCTCCATCTCGGCTCACTGGCTATCGTCCATAAGCCAGGTAAACTTCTGGCTATCCCAACCCATTCCCGTTCCCCGCCTCTTGAAGGCAATGTAGAGTTTGGTCAGCTCGCGCAATGCATAGTACTTGCCTCTTATACTATTAGAGGAGAAGGAGGTGCCATATTAGCCGTTCAACCGGCGTTGGATTTCGGGAACTACATAGCTAGTAATGTTATTGTCCCTAATTTCACTAGCTCTATGCATGCTCACAAGGTGGTTGGTAAAATCAATTTTGTGCTGCCTAGAGAAATACATATGCTCCCCACCTGGATTGCGCCTTTGTTTTCTCATCTTATTAACCCACAAACAAATCCAGTTATCAAAACAAAAAAATAAAGTTACAGGCATGATTATTGATTATCCAAGAGACGACATAACAATAACCAAACTAGAGGAGGAGCAAGAATTACCTTGTAATAGTTAGAAATGCAACTTCCTTAAATCGTTTTCCCCCCACACTGAGTTGGATGAACGAGAATTCTGGATGATTTTCTACTTCAATGCTGTGTTGACATAGATATAAAATTACTTACCAGCACTGAACAAGGCCAAAAAAAAGAAGAACCAAGCAAATATACCTCTGGAAGCACGGCGGATAATAGGGGGCATATAACCTTAGAAAATGGCAACCAGAGCAGTAAACTACCCTGTTTTTTAGCACCGAATAGCAGTATGAAGTTAGACAAAGACATCAAGTGTTTTCGAGGTAAAAAAAAAAAGTTAGCAGCCTAAAATAGCGTGCAGCAGTTCATTCAGGGAAAAAAACACAGAATTAGGCCATAAAGTAAGAAAAAAACAGCAAACTAAATGGAATGACATTAAAAAAAAGATAATGACAATATTGGGGGGGGGGAAGAGAACTTGAGGACTTGGCAAATAAACCCAATCATTCTTTTAAGATATTCATCAAAATAGTTAACTAAAGTCATTAGTATCTAGAACTAGATAAAATAGGATCAGAACGAGAGCTTAATAAGCCTATTGAAGGCAAGTCTGGATAGTCAAAGGCAGCTCTCTCCGCATAATAATTTCTTATGTTGACTTTCCAATCAAGCATGCACCTAGTATAAAATTATTCAGTTCTGATGAAGGCAACGAAGGATTGTTTAACGTAAGAGTCTCTTAACTATGTATCCTACACTTATCCATGGCATATTTGAAGTAGAAGTTCAATTTTATGTCATACCAGATAGCATAGATAAGTAAGTTTACAACTTTGTTGGAGGCAAATCATAAACAAGGGTATGAAGTTTTTGGCCTTGAAATCAAATATCCTTTGTTTCAATGTTTCAAGAAAGTCAGTTACAGGTCAGGCATAAAACTATAGTGTGGCAGCAGGAGGGTAGCCAAGGATTCTGTTGCAGCAGCCAGCAGAGACATAGAACAGTCTCAAAAACAACTGCTAAATGAACAATAGAGATAACAAGCGGCGGGTAAATTCTTAACTAGACATATGAAGGTTTGATATTACAAGTTAATTGACTAAGGACAAATGCAATGAAAATGCTCTTTCTAAACAGTAGCAGCTATTATATATATGATAAATGTTTGAAACATGGTGATTCTTCACAATCTCACATATGATTGCTAATTGCAAGAACGTGTCATTGACATCTAGCACAGAGACACTTCAACTAGAAATTATTACGTTAAGGTGGCATTTGTCAGATTACAAGGGAACACATGACTCAAATTAGGCTGAATAATGATAGAAATTCTATTCAAGCATGTTGCAATCAGATCCAGATACCAATAAAAGGAATACATATATGAAAATCTTAACTATTAAATTAGATTAAGCATTGTATGACTAAACACAAATTGCACATAAACATGTTAAGGGCAATGCAGCTCCATTACAGTTTTCTGGATGATTCCCAAACGTGTAAAATTCTAGTAAAGAGACTGTAAAATTAAAATTACCAAAGAGAGAGAGAGAGAGAGAGAGAGAACCAGAGAGTAAATTAAATGGTATGGCATAAAGTACATTTAAAACAGCCAAATAAATTAGGCAAATTAGTCAAGTTCTCTTCCCCTTAAGCAAACAATTAAATGGTATGACATAGTTTAATTTCTCTTTTATCCAACCAAATTAATGCGGTCAAAAAATGTTCGCATTTCATAGCTCCTCAGAGAAAGCCAGCTCTGACGATGCACACACAAAAAGGTTCCATCAAAAGATAAAGCAAGCAATTTTTTGTTTAATCAGTCCAAATTTCTTCGAAAACGGTGAAAAAATTTGCAAATGAAGTCCATTCTTGGATGAACCCTAACACTGTTCATACTCCAGATCACAAGTGTATCGCATATATTTGCGATTTGGCCACATTAAATCTGAAAGTACAACCTTCCCCACTGCTAATTAACAATCTAGTTTAGAAATTAGTCTTTACAACAGAAGGCTAAGAAGCTTTTGAAAGAAAAAAAAAAACATACCGGATATCGAGCTAAAGAGCTAAAGAGGGGGTCGGAGAGCTCAAACAATGTTTGAGCTGAAGTCGCGCAACGAGGAGGGAGCTTGGATGCGTTCTGACTTCGCTTCTTCATCGAGCTTGAGCTGACAAACTCAGTCGTCAATTTAGCTTTAGAGGAGCATTTTGAGGAAGCAGAAGCTGTTCGCGGTCCTGAATCTCTCGGCATTCACACTCGTGTGATTTTGGGAAAGTGGTTTTGGGTTGCCTTTGCAAACAATAGCCGAAAAATAGACAACTGGGGCTTTTGCCCAAACGACGTAGTTTCGCATTTCTTTAACTGTAGCCATAATTGTTGTGGGCTCACAACATTTGGTGTGTTTGAAAGACAAAAACAATTTTTGGAAAAAATGCAAATCCAAACGGAGCCGTTGTTATTTATGTAATAAAATTTTGAAAAACCCTAAACTACGCTTTTGCTCGCTAAATAAATATCCTCCTAAGCCACTTTGTTTATTTCAAGAAAACCACCACCTAAAAAATAATCGTAAGTAGTACTATCACAACATAATGCTATAATCCGTAAAAATATAAATCTGAAAAAGAAAAAGGAGATTTGCAAACAAATACACTGCAAAATTAACTCTATATGCTTAAAACCTATTTCTTATTAATGTTATAATTTTTTTCAACTTCTTAACCCGTACCCAAATTTTTAAATTGTACTGAATATTATAAAAATTAATTCAAAATAAACTGCAAAATTATACCCCATTCTATCACAACACAAAAAGTTAAAGATCAATAAATTTCAATTTACAATAAATTACACATAAAAATCATATAGTCATAAAAAAAAAGTAAGAGAGAATGTTAGAGAAAGGAAAAAGAGAACTAAGTGGCTTTTGTTTCTTTTTTTAATTTTTTGAGCTATATTTATTTAACATATGAATTATGTGTTAAGTGACAGTTGACATAATCTTTTTGCAATTATTAGAAGAGGTAAATGATATTTTCAAAACCTCATGGATGCCTGGTAATATTGGGGGAGGTTTCTCATATTATCCCTTTTCCAAAACCAACCAAAACAATTGACCCAAAAAAAAAAAAAAAAGAAAACTAGTCAAACAAACACAGTTGTATAAACACGTGTCGCAATCCAAAGCACAAAGACACAACAACCAAAAGCGGCGGCCGCTTGCAGAAAATTAAAACCAAAAAATCTCAAAAAAAACCACAAAAGAGAAATAAAAACGAAAAAAAAAAATGCTTTCCTACATTTCATCAGCTTCTTCTTCTTCCACCACCACCGCCTTCTTCTTCAATCTCCGCTCTTCTCTCTTAGCCAAACCAAGATTCCATTTTTGCCCTTCCATCTTCTCCAAATCACAGCAACGCCACTACTCCAATTTCTTTCCTCGTTCTTCTTCTTCTGCTATGGATTCTCCGTCAATCGCAGCCGTTGATTCCATCGCCGATGATCTCAGAAATCAGAGCTTGAATTCCAATAATCATGGTGGAAATCATGATGGTATTAATAATGTTAGTAAAAATAAAGGGGTGAAATTGAAGCTGGAGGAACTTAATTGGGATCATTCATTTGTTCGAGAGCTCCCTGGTGACCCCCGAACTGATATTATGCCAAGAGAGGTTAGTTTTTTTTTTAAAAGTTTTTTTGTGCTTATATTTTCTTAATTTATGCAAAATGTTTATCTTTTCTTCTTTTTAGGGTTTGCTGAATATATATGGAGTGTGGAAATGGACTGATTGGATATCTTGCCATTACTCGTTTAATTTGTTACTTCTCTGAATGATGTAATATTTTCTGTTTTTTATCTTTTCTTTGAGTGAATTTTATGGATAGGGTTTAATGGGCCTTTTTTGTAGCTAATGGGATTTAACTATATTAAGTGGTAAGGAAATTGTGTGCTTTAATTTAAGGAAAATTACTGAAAAAGCAGCGCTTGGCTGCCTCATTAATAAAAGAGGGAACAATTTTGACCTTTCTATTGTAAAGGGCATTTAGTTGATCTTTGTAGAACGTTTAGTTCAATCTGAACTTAAATGTGCACATTTTGTGCAAAAATGTAGGTGTAATTGCCTTCTATATTAGCAATAGCACAGAATTACACCAAGGTGGATTAACTACCCTTTTCACAAATTTATTCCAAGGTTTTGTGCATCAACTAATTCTGATGTAGGGATATCTGTTAATGTTGGGCAGCATATACTAAAAGCATACTCTTAGCAGTTTTTGGAGGGTTAACCTAAAATGTATTGACAATAATTGATGTTTTCAATGTTAACGTCAGCTCTGCAACTTGATAAATAGGGCCATTTTGCTGGATTACTCACCCTTTTCAGAAATTTCACTTAACTTTTTAGTTTGTAGCTAATTCTGCAGTAGGGTAGTAAATGTTGATGTTGGAAGCAAATAGTGAATGCATAATACATAGTGGTCTTGCAGGATTGGCTTTTTATGGGATATTGGCACTTGATTGATGTTTTTCAATTGACTTTGCAATTTGATATATAGGTATTACATGCTTGTTATACAAAAGTATCGCCGTCAGCTGAAGTGGAGAACCCTCAACTCGTTGCATGGTCAGAATCAGTTGCTGAATCACTTGACTTGGATTCTAAAGAGTGAGTATGCGAGTTTGTTTCATGTGTTATGTGCATCTTTGGGGTACAGCACAAAGATGTGTGCATGGTGTAACTTTAAAGCCTCTTTAAACAGCTGACATTGTTATTGATTTGAGAATTATCAGGCGTTTTTTTTAGTTGGAAGAAAAAGGTTCTCCTTGTGGAAATTTGTTGCTTCACTACTTACTGGTGAAATGCACTCTCGATCTTTTTCTACTTTATCTGGCAGTCTTTTTCATTATTATTCAATTGTGAATGTGATGACCAATCTAAGGAGTCTGGACATACAATCTCTAAGGCAAAGATGCTTTGCTATGGTGTAGCGATAATTGGCTTCTTTTTGGAGTTATGTGAAAAATGGGGATTTAGGTCCATTGTATGAAATGAGACCTCTTTTCCTGTCTGCATAAATCTGCTGCAGTAGTGGAAAAGGCTAACAGTATTTCCTCATTAGTAGTGGAAAAGGATGTTTTCTTCATAAAGCTTATAATGGTTTGGATCTCTTGCATAGCAGCTTTAAGTTCTTGAGTACATTCGCCATTGTGCTGTTTTGAGGTTCTAATAGTTGACTTTTTCATCAACTTTATGTTGGATGATCTTGAATGTACAATAGCTGTTTGTGTGAGCTAGATTCACTAGGTTGTGATGTAGAACATATCTGGCTTTTTTTCTCGTCTGCATCCTGAAGGTGGCAATATAAGTTTATTATAGTGAAGTAGTGAACAAGGATTCTTCTGCTCTCTGCCAAAACCTGCAATGCTATTTTAAGCACATGGTGGGCCTGCAGTTTCCCTGCCTTTTTGTTAGCGCGGTTATTTCAGGATATGCTTTTTTCCCATTGCTTGGTATTTTCAAAATTATCACAAGAATCAGGAGGTGGTTCCTAATTTTAAATGATAATGTAGCTGATTTGGAAGTTTGTGTATGGTATTTCTTGTCTGAGTTAGGTCAGATAGAGTTGAATTGTTTCCTGGAAGAAAATATACATAATACTACTAAGATGTGGTTACTTCCTTTTAGTTCTCTCTTTTTCTGTCTGGATCTTGATGTTCGGCTCTTCTCTTTCTCATTGATGTCTTATGTCATCTTCCTAAACATATTTGTTGTTTCAGGTTTGAAAGACCTGATTTTGCGCAGATATTTTCCGGAGCTTCTCCCTTGGTTGGAGGGTAAGTGTCACGTCGGCTTATACATCCTAGAGGTCCTCTATGGTGCTTGATTAACATTTCAGCATGTCACTCCTATAGGGTTTCTTATGCTCAATGCTATGGAGGACACCAGTTTGGAATGTGGGCTGGTCAGTTAGGTGATGGCAGGGCAATAACTCTTGGGGAGCTTCTTAACTCAAATTCAGAAAGGTGGGAGTTGCAGCTCAAAGGTGCTGGAAAAACACCATACAGCCGATTTGCAGATGGTCTTGCAGTGTTACGAAGTAGTATACGGGAATTTCTTTGTAGTGAAGCAATGTATTTTCTGGGAATACCCACAACACGTGCTCTTTGTCTTGTGACAACTGGAAAATTTGTCACCCGAGACATGTTCTATGAGTATGTTCTTCAGTCATGGTTTTTTCATGCGGTTTTTTTGAGCTTGATATATGTTCTAGCTTTTATGTTTTAATGTGTTTTTTCTGAGTTTGATATTCCATTACAGCCCCATGTTAGTAATTCAAAAAATAAAGGAGTTTCCAATGTTTGATGTGTTTGCATGTTATTCCGATGTCTTGGTCCTTAAATTTCTGTATGATCTTGTTGACTTTAACCAAATATAGCATATTTTTTTAAGCACAGTCTTGATTTTACAACACTAGGTTGATACCGGAATGAGAATTTGTACTTTTCTGCATGCATTGCTTAGGGGTAGGGCTGTAACTTGATTTAAATTGATGCCACCACAATTTAATATTTCTTCATCTGTCATGTTTTATTGGTTTAATTTGTGAATTATTAGTTTTTATTTCTGTGTCTGTGCAGTGGAAATCCAAAGGAGGAACCTGGTGCAATTGTTTGCAGAGTAGCTCAATCTTTCCTTCGCTTCGGTTCATACCAAATACATGCTTCTAGAGGAAAAGAGGATCTTGATATTGTTCGTACTTTGGCAGACTACACCATTAAGCATCATTATCCCCATTTAGAGAATATGAGTAAGAGCGAAAGTGTATCTTTTCAAACCGGGGAGGAAGACAATGAAGTGGTGGATCTAACCTCAAACAAGTATGCAGGTTGGCATTTAATTTACATAATTAGTGGCAGTATATAAGTGATAATAGGTGTTAAATTAAGTATCCTTCGGGCATGATTTTTTGATATATGTTGCTGTCATTTTGCCAGTCCAAGTTGCCGGTTGTATGTTTCTTATGAGTCTCATTCTGGACTTAACTACGGATACATGCTGTTAGTTCTTGCTAATTAACCTAGGAAAATGAGAGGGTTCCTAGATTTTCTAATTTGGTTTCGGAGACTAGAAGATATATTCCATGTGGGTTTTCTTGGAGCTTAAGGATTGGTAGAAGTGTTCCTGCAGGGAACAGGGTTGGCCTGATTATGTTGACCAGTCCAAGCAGGTTTTGAGATC